TGTAGCGAGCCAGGATAAGTCATAGTCATCAGAAGGCCGTGTTACAACGCCGTCTATACCACTCCGCCTCCTCCCTCCCCGGGCTCGTCCCCCACAGCAGGCTCCCAAACGTCCCGATCAGCGCAAAGTTTGTCTTGGAGGCAAAGTACCAAAACGCCCTCAGGTGGGACGGAGTGAGCCGGTTGACGAAATCCATTGCGGAGATGAGTCTGGCCTTGGCGGCCGAGCGGCAAATGTGCTGGATGTAAGGGTCGATGGACGGCGAGTTGGGGTTGTTGTCCTCCGGAAGGGCGGACATGGACCTGATGATGCGGCGGTGGAGCGTGATCTCGGTTGCAAAGTAGGCCAGGTGCAGATAGCCGATCGGGGAGAACCTGCTCCCCGAAGAGGACGAGGGTGTGGTCTGAAAGGTCGAGTCCATCCTGACGAGGGCCGGGAGGGCGGAATACCACTCCTTGAGCTTGAGCTGGATGGGCTTGGCGAGGGACAAGACGAGCTGAGTGCCCTGCGGGCCGGCGTTGGCGATCTGAGAGGTTGCCTGCAAAGTGTAAAACGTGTCCAGGATTTCGGCCAGGATTTGGGAAAGCTGGACCATTTGCCTGAAAAGGACCCGACCCCTCTCAAGCTCGAGCCGTTCCTCGGCGTCGGTCTCGTCGCATTCAATGTCGGGAAAGTCGTTGGGATTGAGCGGCTGGACGGCCCAGTTGGACGCAAAGATATGGGAAGGTCGGCCGTGGACGAGGGCGCCCCATTTATCCTGGACACAACAAGTCAATATCAAACAAGTCATACACTACGAGAATAAAAAAAAATGAAAAAGAATAAGAAAAAGAAAAAAAATGCAAAAAAAATAAAAAAAAAATTAAAAAAAAATAAAAAAAAATAAAAAAAAATAAAAAAAATGAAAAAAATGAAAGAAAAATGAAAAAAAGAAAAAAAAAGAAAAAAAGAAAAAAAAAAAAGGAAAGAAAAAAGAAAAAAAAAAGAAAAAAAAGAAAGAAAAAAGAAAAAAAAAAGAAAAAAAACAACAACACTAACCTGCAAATACAGAGCCCAAGCCAGCCTCTTCCTCAACCCCCTCTCCCAAGGCGGAATCTTCCAGTTCGTGCAATCCAAATGCAACCCCAGCTCCTGTCCCACCGCCACAAGCTGCGCAGTCGGCGCCCACTGATCCCCCTCAGGCCTCTGGCTCAACAGCAACCCCGCCTGTATCGTCGACAGCTTCGGCCTGTACATGGCATCCGCCAACGTGGTCCTCACCAACCTTTCCAGCTCCCTCACATTCGGCTTCGGCAACCCCGCCAGCTCCTCCTCGTGCTCCCACCAGTTGATGGCCAGGATATACACGGCCGCCAGCAACGGCGGCGAAAACTCGCGGTGGCTCCTCTCATACTTTTCATAAAACACACTCCGTTGAATGATGGGAAAGCCCGGGTGCACTACCCGAAAGTAGAGGTCGATCAGCCTCCTCCCGTGCGGCGCCACAATGTTCTCAATCTCGTCCGCGTCCTCGACGATGTGATCATACCCCGGCGTGTTGTTGTCCGGCAGCAACAAGAACGTGTCGTTGTCGCTCACCCTCCTCAACGTCCCCCTCGCGAGCAGACTCTCATCTTGCGGGTCGAATGATGACAGGTTGATGAGCGAGGGCTCAAAGTCGGTGGTGGGCCCAATGTACTGGCAGTACCGATCCGCCTGCAGCCCCAACGTGCGCTTGAGCAGCGTGGGCCCGCCAAAGTTGGCCATGTCTTCGATTAGGGAGCTGCTGGTCGTGGTGCACGAGACGCTGGGTTGCTGGTGGTGCTGGTTCTGCCGCCGACGCTGCGATCTGTTATCAGACCGTCCTGGGGAACTATTGACCAATCAACATGTCAGGTAAGTCCTGTTAGAGACACAAGATCTCGATGGCCTATCTTGGCCTTTGGTGGGGGTGGGCATAGGTAGGTAAGAAGTAGAAAAGAAAACAGAAAGGAATGTGATGAAGAAGATGAAGAAGAAGAAGAAGAAGAAGAGAGCCATTCACATAAAACGTGGCCCCCCACCCCTCCCATCCTGTCATCAGCAAAAAGAAAAAAAAGGAAAAAAAGAAAAAAAAATTGTTCTGTCTCACCTCCTCTTACTCCTCCCCTCCTCCGCCCCATCCCCTCCATTCAACTTCCTCTTCCTCGCCCCCAAAGGGCTGCTACTCCCACTGCTCTCCACCAACGAGCACTCGGTCCCACTATACTGACAAGCCACGCAGTGCTCCTCGGTATCCTCACCCATAACGCACTCACTCCTCCTGTTCCGGCAAGCCTCGCACGGCGGCGTGTTCAAGCTCAGCACCGACCCCGAATCAGGCGAGTTGAACCCGCTCCCGTAAGAGTCAAAGTTGTGGCCGTGGTGGTGCACACTGCCCTGTCGACTCGGTGGGAAGCGTGCCGCGGGGGGTTTTGGCGCGATAGCTATGGGGGCCGTCCTTGGGACGGCGATCGAGGTGGACATGGCTGCTTGTTAAAAAGGGACGTCTATGTTCGGGAACTCCCGAATGTTCAAAAAAAAAAAAAAATAAGTCCGGGCAGCCCCCAAAATCAAAAACTGCGTGTTCCAACAGTTCCGAGGAAAAAAGACGGACGGGAGGGGGTGGTGGTATCGCAAGCCGTGTCTGGTTGGAATATGCACGAAAATGACCTCTCCTTCCGCTGTCAGCCTCTCAGAGAGATGGATGGACAAGAAGACAGTATTTTCCCCCGCGGAATATCCAGTCAATGACGGCGGCCCAGAGAAAAGACCACACTATTCACAACTCCACTTTCCTATCCTCAAATCCTTCAGCCCAGAAAAGGATGATCAGACGGTATGTCACCACCCCGCGTGGAGAACCAAACAGATCGATCGAGCTTTGACCGAATTCCTTAAGCCGAGAGAGAGAGAGAGAGAACAGGGTCCACGCCTGTGGTCGTCACGAGATGGAATCACACACACCCCAACGAGGAAAACCGTTATGTCAGCAGTTTCTCAAAGAGGCAGGCTGGTAAAAGGTGTTGCTGGTTGGTGGTTGGGCCGAAGTCGATAACTGATAAGAGATGTGTAATGAACAACAGGGCCTTTGTAGATAAGGTTGCCTTGCCTTGCCTGCTGCTCGGTTTCGGCACAGTTATCGCAGGGGGCCTATAGGTACTCGGAAAGTTTCCCTATCTCTCTATCAAGAAAGAAGCACTTGGGTGGGTTGGTTGAGCTGTTGCCGCTGCTGTTCATGACACAACACAGGGGCGTACCGTAAACACAGAGGGGGGGGGGGGAGGGGGGCGTGTTGATGACCGAAAATAGTCGTCCCGATGTAAGAAAAAAGCCGTTGAATATGTGAGCTTATCTCTCGCCAGTCGATTCCAAGGTTTTCCGTGTTCCCGTTCGTCCCCAGACGACGTTCACCTCGGTATGGGGGTGGTTGGTGGTGTAGTAGTACTTCCGTCCGTATGTATGCGGTGGTGAATGATGATGTCCCGGGAAAGATAAAGAAAGAAAACACGGCCACCTAGCCCTGTAGATGAGGCAGGAATATCAGAGATGTGGCGTTGTCTTCAAATTGATGTGGGGGATAAGGATAAGAAGGGGGGGGGGGTAAGGGGAGGATCTAGGTGATGATCGAGACTAGGGCGAGATAAGCCAGGCTTATCTGCGTCATTTGCGTAGTCGTCGAAGAATGGTTCAAACGTACACACACGCGTGGGAATCCGTTTTGAAAGTGATGTGGGCAGGGGTCCCAGTTTGAACGTCGTAATTAATAAAACGTTGTGGTTTTCTCGTTGTTGTTGTTGTTGTTGTTGCTGTTTGTTTTTTCCGGGCTGGTGGTGATGGTGGTGATGGTGGTGATGGTGGTGATGGTGGTGATGGTGGTGGTGGTGGTGGTGGTGGCTGCTTGTGACGTTGGAGTCTTCCCCACTGATGGAGAATGTAAGGAACAACGAACGGGCGGTCTGTTCTGGAGCCAGGCCAATGGGTAATAAGGAATGGCTCAGACAGCAGCAAGATGGAAGCTCGAGATGTCCCAGAATGTGTGAGGTAACGAAACGCAGAAAGCGGACTGTCAGAACTGGTGCCCAGACATTCGGAGACGATCAAGTTGGAATTAGCGATGGACCTCTGTGGACCAGGATCCGCTGCGGCGGTTCTTGGTGATGGAAACGTCATTCACTAACACCTACACTACAGGGTACGACGGGAAGAGCACCCACCCCCTCCTTTGAAGACTGGGCTTCCCGTGAGATAGGTAGATGCCGCCTGTAATAGGTGGTAGATAGGTAGGTAGGTAGGGTGATAGTGTAGGTGTGTCCATCACCCATCTATTCCCGTTTCTGTGGTCGCTTGTGCTTGTGTTCTCTGGCTGTTTGATGATATGCATGTCCAACCGATAGCGAAACGAAACAAACAGCCTTATCACAGGCCCCCTCTCCGAGATTCAATTGCGAGAAACATAATTGTAAGCCGGCGATAACGGTCGCGTGTGTACGTACCCCTGGGGAAAAACACTCGCTGCAGCCGGCTGTGGGGCGGCCAACGGTAAGCCCAGATCGAAAAAGAGCCGGGCCTGATGACTGCCCGGCGCCGGAACCTGGAATGTCTTCCGCATGTAGCTGCGGGGCCCCCTGCTGCTGTCCGCCCGTTTGGGAATACTTGTAACGTAATGGTTCGAGTCAGTCACTCGCGCTCTCTCCTCCAGAAAAACAAAAACAAAATAAAAATGCCGACTTGTGCTGCTGTCGCAGCCAAATGCACGACACACACGACACCGACACCACACCAGTTTTGAATCGGAAAAGGCGGTCATGAAACCAACTTGGCAAACGCTTGGGGATTTCTTGGATGGCATGGCCCTCTGCCGATTATTGCTGATTTGACGAGGCTGGTGTTACCATCCGACTCTTTTTCGTTGTGGTGTTCCATTTGTTGTCTGCGTAGTTCTGTTCGTCAAGCATTTGCTGTCAGTCCCGTCTCTATCATCATCATCATCAGTCTTCCCCCACAGAACATCATGTCACAATCCCCTCCAAAAACTTTGACACCGCCATGTTGCCTGCCGGAATCTCTAGAAAACAATTGGATGAACAACAATCCGATGTGGTGTGAAAGAAAATTGACGAGCATTCGATATGCCATGTGCCACCCTTCCCTTCCCACTCATCATCATCATTCCGCTGGGCCCCTCTATCCATCCCTCCATCCCCACACACCCTCCCCCCTCCCCCCCCCGGCGATCTCGTCGGGGGGGGGCGCCCTGGTGGCGGGGCGGGGGGGCTTTGGGCGGGTGGGGGGGGGGGGTGGCGGGCGGCGGTCTCTCCTCCTTTCTCGGGGGGGGGGGGGGGGGTTTTTT